AATGACCTTGCTCTCCATGAGTTCTCGTAGCTCAGTGGATAGAGCGCCCGCCCGGTGTTCGGGAGGTCATGGGTTCGATTCCTGTTGGGGACTCAGAATGTTTCTTTGTCCCACGCTCGTGTCAAGTTGATTAATTCACCTTCACATTTCATTACCGAGCTTAAAATTCACCATCTTTATTAACTTATAACCACTTTATTGTTTCAACATTGAACAGCCAATTTTAACCAGTTTCCTTAAGCAAGGAATGTTTTACATAACACTTTTCTTGTCAGTAGACTTGTGAACAAGCTTGCAGTTTGAGGTTTGTTCCTTTTGCAGGATTCAGGTGGTGGTGGAACAGTACCGATTGTCATGGTGCTTGGGTCATGTGACTTTGCTTATATCCGTGTGCATCGAAGAATTGGCAAACATCGTGTTTTGGGTGAACAGGAGATAAAGAGGTATATAAATCATGTTATTGTATGTTCGGTTGAGATCAGAAGGATCAATTTGGCTTTTAAATTTCCTTCACTTTCATTTTCTCTTTCATTGATCAGACTTACAAATTATTTGTTTTTCAAACCCAAATATAGCTCATAGTCAGTAAACAAACTACATTTGACTTCAGCTTATTTCATGCTATAAACCCGATATCATAATTAGCTTGTCTTGACAGGTGAGGTGAATAACATCCATTTTGCATGGTGTCAAAAAAAATGCATGAAGGCAGGGAAAGAGCCAACAAGCGACTGTTTTTCTTTTCTTTTTTTTTTTCCTTCCATAGTTGGGGAGAACGTTTACGTTCGTCTGAATTACAGAGTTCAATAAGAGGACCAATCTATTTTATGTGGGGAACAGATCATGAGGACCAGGTAGGAAATAACCAGCGATCCAATATGGCCTGCTGATTTTTCCACGCTCAAATTCTGTACCCTCTGTGAGTAAAGACGAGTGAGGGAGAAAGTTAGTGGACGAGAGAAACGCAATCTATGTTCCTATATCCCCTCTAAAATACACACCCATACCCCTTTCTCGAATACCTAGTTGTTGTTTTATAAAACTGCAAGACACTATTTAGAAGAAATCAAAGAGAATTAAAATACGTCACATACATGTATGATTTCATTCATTCAGAAAAAAGAAAGACTTTTTTCGCCCAATGCAATACAACAACCAACAATAAATCAATGCTTATAATAACTTATTAGGAACTGATTCGATACCGGGGCGTACCGAAGAAAATTTCACTCCAGTAAAATAAGACAAACAATAAACACCATGGACAATAAAGTTTCACTGACAAAAATCGCGAGTT